TGCACTTGTGGGTCACAGGCTTAAATTTAACTATTTCAAAGTAACCCTACGCTTTCATGTTAAATCACTGAGAGTTTCTCACTCAAGATTGTTAATCATAATTTTCTATGGTTCAATGCAGATATTATCAAAATATAATATGAAAGTTTTCTGAGTGAATATTAATGTAGAGAGTATCTAAACCTCAGTCTATGTTATGTCCAGTGCTATGATTCAGGCATGTAGAGAGCCTACCAAAAGTTGATTTGGATTAGAATTATTTTTTTAGGAGATAGAAGGCATAAGAGCAGTCAGGTTGCATTTATAAATCACAGTTCAATACAGGAGTATATTTTATACCCTTTTTTATCTTATTTTTCCCGCTATTTCCCACAAAATTTCCCACAGAAGAAATTGAGTGGAAATTTCTAATTGGGTGAAAGTGACCCAAAGAGGCTTCAGCCATAGAAGGAAGAGAAGTAGAAATTTAATAAACAATCACAGTTTAATCCACATGGATTTATCTTGGAGATAATTAAGAGACAACTACAAAATGAGAAATGGTCTTAAATTTAAAAAATAAAATAAATAAATACTAAAACAAACATGATGCCAGAATGGCTCTGGAATTTCTATGCAGAAGAGATTTTTAGGGGTAGCATATATATGTAGATGACTTTGGGGAGAGCTGGTGAAGATTAGGAGTAGGGTATATTAAAGTCTCTCTAAGTCATTCCTTGAGTTGTATTGGTCACACCTATAGTATGTTGCTTTTATTTAAAGTTAAAAGAGCTAGCCAATTTATTTTTGAATACTTTAAGATGGGCACAATCCCATCTAAATAAAAATAATTAGCAAAAATAAGTATAAACAGATATTGATCATAATCAGATTCTCCCACTAGACTTTCTAAAACCAACATCTGAAGTAATGTCAGTGAGGTAGCTAATTGGAAATAAGATCAGCACTGGAAATAAAATATCAAGGTCTCCTTTCTTGCAACACCAACTTCTCAATACTGTTCATAACTATAGTTTTTTCTTTATCCTTCTCACTGTGTATTCATTATATAGCAGCAAAGTAAATCCAAACACTAATCTAACCCAATGTGTACACCAGAGTATTTGTTACATTGCATTTTTCCAAAAAAATCATGACACCACTCATAAAAAGGACACAGAATAAACTGTCAGTGACATGCCAACAAATTTAAATAGACAACTAACATATATATTTGAGATCTGGCTATTCTCTAACTAACTAAAAGCCACTATAAATGCAATGAATCAATTACCTTCCAATAATTCTACATAAATAAGGCCCATAACTGATCAATTCATCATGTTATTTTTATCAAAAATTTTAAGTTTCACCTTTGGGAGCAATATTCTGAGAAAAAAGCAAAGTTGTTCATTAGAAAAAAGTTATTAGAATTATTATTGTTTAGCTCAAAAATAAAATAAGGTGATCGGTTCCTTGCTTGCCCAATAAGGGGAAAACAAACCCTTTAGACATAACAGTGAATCTGCATATCAATCTGCATGTGACCAATCATGAATCTGATGAGACTTCTGGAAAAATACACTGGCGGCACTTGGGTTGGCCTGCTTCTTAGACAAAAAGGAAACAGATTAAATGTACACATCTCTTGATTTCAGAACCAAATTCAGTTCCCGAGGGCCACTGCTATTTCCAAAGTTACAATATCAGACCACCAATATTAAGTTGAGTTTGCAAATTCAGTATACAGTGTAAGCAAGCCCGATCACTCACATCACAAATTACAGACTACATATTTTATGTCCCAGTCTACCGGTAAGCACGTTACAGTACCTGCAGAGAATCCAAGAGCCCCTTGACTGCTATCAGAAAACACATTGGACAAGCACAACTGAAAGCTTTCTTAGGAACAGGAGGAAGGGACCCAAATAGCATCGTAAGCACACTATCTCCCATAATATGAATTTGTTAAAAATTAAGAACATTAGCTAAGGAATGAGCTGGAAGGCTAGCTCTGTAATTTCCAGAAATGTTCAATTCAAGCTGCACACAAGAAAACACCACCAGTGAACTTTAAATGTGGGGCACAAACCTGACAAAACAGGAAAAATATGTGGGTCAGATCGCAACAAAATACCACAACCTTTTTTTTCAGAGGCAACAGGAATCATTTAAAATAATTTGTTAACTTAGATATTACAAGTGTTTCTCAAGGAAAAAAGGAGGTAAGGTGAAAGATTAAATATACAAAGAGGGAGATTTGTGTATTATCTTGTTACTATTATGTAAATTATTATATCATGTTATTTTCTGTATTTCACTGAGGAAAAGCCTACTATAAAAGAGCTCACCATATCTACCCCTCACCATATAGGTTTCCTCACTATATCTACTACTGTAATAAATATGATTTGATGTTTAACAAACACCAAGGACCACCAAGGAAGAGAATGGAAGCCTAAGAGCTTTTCTTCACCTACCACCAACCACCAGCTACCATAAGAGCTGCAGCACTTAGGACCTAGACCGTTTTAACGAACACCAGCTGAAGAAAATTCAACTGGCTGGCCCTACTAATGAAGCTCCAAGAAAACTCAAAGCAAAAAAAATTCTTTCAAGTGCCTTCAACATAGGGAGCTTTCCCCCACACTTCAAATTACTAATATAGTTAACACTTTTAAGGTGAGAGAACTGAAAAAGGTCAGGAGGAATATACATGTATGACTAGCACAGATGAAACCACACAGCCAAAGGACAGAGATGGGGAAGTGGGGGTTATTACTGAGCAGTTCTTTTTTGGTTGGAAAATACAGGTAATAAGAATACCTACAGAAACTGAGAATAAATTTGTGTGATTTTAAGCAGCTTTCAGAAAGGATAGCCCTGACCGGTGTAGCTCAGATTGCTGGGTATCATCCTGCAAAGTGAGGGGTCACCGACTGGATTCCCGGTCAGGGCACATGCCTAGGTTGCAGGTTCAGTCCCCGGGCTGGGCACATGTGAGAAGCAGACAATTGATGTTTCTCTCTCACACTGATGTTTCTCTCTCTCTCTTTCTCCCTCCCTTCCCTTCTCTCTAAATATAAGTAAAATCTTTTTTTAAAAAATAAAAGGAAAATAAAGACAGAAGTGCAGATTGGGGTCATACTGTACAAGGACTTACCTATAAGACATTTGGTATAAAACACTGGTATAAATGTTGATAGGATTTCGGTGAGGCCTAAAGCTTAAAAACACTTATTTCTAAGCCTAAATTCAACTCTACAAGGGGGGAAAGTATAGTTTTGTTACTAGAAGAGAAAGGAATCGGGTTAGCGTGCTGAGCTCAGGTCTACCCAGCGAGTTCCCTTTTCACAATGGCAAAGATACTGTGCTTCAGTATCCCCAGGGATATGAGTAATGCCTACCTTTATCTTAATTATAACCTGCTCATAGAAAGCACTCTGAATTAGCACCCTCATTCCAAGGCAATCTGATGTTGAGTCATTATACCCATATTTTTAATCTGTCATTTGAGTGCTTACTGTGTGCCAGATACGCTACTATATAGCCTACATGGGTTATATTAATAACACCCCGAGAAACTATTTCATAAAACCAAAAATTGTACAGCTAACACAGAACTTGTACGTTTCCAATTTACAAAAAAGGAAAATGAAGAGTAGTTAAGTTTCCATTAAAAGTAAGGGTTAATGATACACTCACAAAATTGGGATGAAAAGAAATATACAAAGGAGACATATATATCATATGTATGTTATATATGTGATATCTTATACATGTGCGTATATACTTAATTAAAAGGATGAAGCCAACTAAAACTCTTGCCGAGGACTGAGAATACTGAAAACAGTAATGACTAACAACAGCCTTGAGTACATATCCTCAAGAGAGTATAAATGCACTATAATAATTTCCAAGATACAAGACATAACAGTTTCTTGCAATTTTCCCTAAAAACAGAAAGAGCAGCTGTGAAATCACCCAGACTACTAAAAAAAGCTCAGCATCTCTTTTTAAAAAGACACACACACACACCCCACTATCTCCTAATCAGCAATACACGCCAAAAACCGACAAGTCTCCACAGACTAGTCATTTATGGTAGGTTACAGTTAGAGAAACAACAGAATGACAGTCGCTATCATGTGGCCAGAAACCAATCCGTCAGCAATTTGTTTCATGTGAGGTGACTTTCTCTCTCCAGAGAATGCGCGACGCTGGGAAGAACAAACGGGCTTTGGCAAACCCGGCTCAGGAAGAACAGCCTGCTGATGAATCTTGGAGGGAGAGCCTCCATCCAGGCTCTCCACAGGTATTTAAAAAAAAAAAAAAAAAGGCAGCCCATCGAGCAGGAGGAAATACTTCCAAGGCGACAGATGCGCGAACTGAAAAAGGAGGTCACGGTGCTGAGAGAACAGATTTAACCCGTTGGTCCAGGGAACCGTGAAGGCTAAGGGGGAGCGCGGTTGAGCCCTCCGGGCGGGCGGGCGAACGGTTTAAATGATGCAGGTGGCTATGGCGGGAAGGCCTTCCCGTCCTCGCGGGGCTCCGGCGGCCCTCGGCTGGTGCCCGACTTCCCCAGGCAGCCGCTGCCTCGCCACGAAGAAAGCACTCTGCAGCTGCACCCCACACCTTCGCCACCCGAAAGCTGCGCTCCCCCCCCGAGTAGGTTTCCTGCCGACGCTCCTGCCCCCAGTGCGGTGACTGACGGACCAGACCGCACCGGTTTCCCCGCATCAAAAATAAACCCCAAGCCTAACTTCCAAACGCTCCCCCAGGTCGGCCCCCGCCTCTCTCCCCTCTGGCTCGCCGCTTCCCGGCTCCAGTGCCTTGGCCTCCGGTGTGCGAGGGCGGGAGAGCCCGTGTCCCCGGCCGGGGGCCTGCGGGGGGCTGGAGACAAAGAGGCTGCAGCGACGCTGCGGCCGCCAGGACGCCAGGACCGTCCCCTCGGGGACAGCTCCGTGCCCCGCCCCGGCCCCCCAGCAACCCGCTCCCGAGTCGCAGCCATCTAGCCTCACCCGCGGCCCCGGGGCCCAGGGTCCTGCGCCCGCCCGCCGCTGCAGCTGTGGGATGAACAATGGCAGGAGGAGGCGCCGGCGTCCAGGGCTCTGGCCCTCTGCGACTCGCGGCCCGCCGGCTGCAGGCGAGCTGACTGACTAACCCACCGGCAGTGGGAGGGAACAAGTGAGCAAGCAGGAGGCTCCGCGGCGCGCCCTCCCGCCTTCCCTCTGCGCTGCTAGGCCGGCCCGGCCGGCAGCCAGCCCGCCCGCAGGCACCCGCCCCGCCCACTCTGATCGCCACAACATTGTAGTAAATTTCTATTGGACAGCGCCGGAGGGAAGGAGGGGGCCGGGCCAGCGGCCCCTCAGCCCATTGGATGAGGCCAGGTGGCTCCTCTGGCGCCCCAAACCCCCCTAGGCGGGTAAGGATTGGAGAGCGAAGGAAAAAAGAGGGGAAAAGGCTAGGGGGCTGGCCTCGTGTGCGCACGCGCAGGTCGAACGTGCTCTGGAGTCCGGTGCTCCCAGCCCCTGCAGCACCCACGTGGGTATTGAGGCAGCTAGTGCCCAAAACGAAGGTGAGGCCCTTTCCACCCAGAGGAGGGCCAGGTAAGAGGCTGAGACTTGAAATCCTCAGGGAAAGCGGAGGTTGCTGCCAGACTACTCCAGCCAACTGTCTCCTAATGCACCTAATGACTTCAGTTAAATCACTCAGCTTTTCTGGACCTCAGTTTCCCTTTCTAGTAACCTGACCATCTCTAGATACCATTCTAACCTTGACATTCGATTAGACTTTACCTCTTCTGGCAGATGTATAAGGAATGGAAACCTGAAATGGAGTGTTGTGGACACACCAAGATTTCACTTGTCTTCTGTGTTGAATGATCTCCTAATTCTGCCCTGGAACCCTCAAAATCACAAAAACCTAGCTGAACTCCGGGTTGCTCTGACAATTGCCCTATGTGCCTTTATTTCCTTTCAGAAGTTTCAAAGGTCCCTTGACCCTTTGCATTCCCTGCCAAGTTGGTCCCTGAACAGGCTGGGGCCCCACAGAGCAGAAAGTAGGCTCTGTTTTAAGCATGCTCCCTAAAAGGTAAAACAGGTTCTGCTATTTTCATTTTAGAGAAGAAGAAACCCAAGCAGAGAGGCTTAGACTTGCCAGGGTAAGAAGCCAGGCAATCTGACATCAGAGCCTGTATGTGCCAGCTACATTGTCTCTTGGTATCTAATCACAGCCCTCACAGCACAGCGCAGCCTCTAAAAACAAACTAGCTAGGTCCAGTTCCCAAACCCTAGCACTCCTAATTGTTACACCTTCTCTGTGCCTGTTCTGGACTCCATGAAAAGGGATGATAACAATTCCTACCTTGTAAGAGTTATTGTAGGAATTAAATAAGTTAAAATATGTGAAGTTCTTTGAATAGTGCCTAGGTCAGAGTAAGAGCTACATATGTGTTATGATCACTGCTATTTGGAGACTATAAAATAAGGACTGAGAGGTGTGGAGCTGGCTAACATAATAATAATACATTTGTTAAGCACTCAATTGTTGTCAGCACTGAACTGAGCATATTAAATGAATTATCTGTTTGAAACACCCTGAGAACCCCTAGAGGACCACCTGATTACCCTAGCTAAAACTGCCTCCACTCACACTCCCTTGCCCTGCTCTTATTTTGCTTCATAGCACTTACTTACTTCTACCTGACTCTGCTCCAATAATTGTGTATTATTTATTTGTTGTCTCTCTCAATAGGCTGCTGCAGTATAGACCCATTAGAATGCAAGCTCCAGCAGGGCAGGGACTTTGTCCTTCTTCATCTCATGAACAAGTTATTTTATGTATAAGGAAGTGAGGGTTTCTAAGGTCAGATGATTTGGCCAAAGTCATTCTGTATCCTAAGAATTAAGTCCCTCTTCTTAAATACTCTAGTACCCTGTCTCAGGTCCTCCAGTTCAGCCGTGCTTTTGTTTGAGGGAGTTCTAGCCCTACCACCAAATTCAGATTTATAAAAACCACTATTCTCTGCGCTATGAAGTGCTAGACAATGACACACCATATTGAAGAGGCTTGGTTGGATGCATGGAATGTATAGTATTTAACAAACATCACCCTGAAAAAAGGTAGGAGGTCTCAGGCTAACAGGAAATGGCCAATACAGGCTGTTGTATACCACTCTTAAATTCATAGTGCCATGCAACGCCACACCAAGAACTGTTAGGACAGGCTTTAGAATCTGAAGGACTTATATTCTAGTTCTGGGTTTTAATTCTTAGCCTGAAGATGAAAGAGCTTTGTAAATTGTAAAGTACCATCCACACAAAGGGAATTTTTTTGTTATTAATTAGGCAAACACCATCACCTGTTAAGTTAAATGCCCAGTCCCTAAGTATAGCTGGACCCAATGCATAATTGTTGGGGGTGAGGGATGAGTATTGCCCAATCTGAAGGCGGAGAACTACCCTTACTCATATGCCCATCTGTCCTTTCGAAAGAGGCCTCTGCAAACCAGACATTGAGTCCCAGCTCACCCTGCAGAGGCTGCCACTGGGTACCAAGGTTAAAGATCTCAAGCATCTCCGAAGCTAATCACCTAGATAGAAACTCAGTTTCTTGCCCTTCCTGCTCCATGCTCTCACATCTGGGTGGTGGCTGTGCCATGCTCCAAGCCCCAGGATGGGATCTCTAGGGGCCATCTCTATCCCGCCTGCCAGCTGAGCCTGCCACTGTCTCCCCCATCACCCCTCCTGTTCCTTCCTAGGGAATACAGGCCCCGCTAGCTGCCTGTCAGCCCCTGGAGCAGTCAAGGCCACTAAGGAAAAAAAACAAAGAAAAAAAGATGGCATGAAAGGGTCCTAATCCTCCCCCAGTGCAAACTGAGCTTCAGCAAAGCAAACACCAGCTGCATGGAAGAGGGTGAAATTAGATGGTGAAATTAGGTGGTGACCAGAGGAGGGAGCCTGGGAGGGTAGATGGGACCTCCAATGACCTGGAAGAGATGAGACTGAAAGAAAGCGGGGGTAGAGTGGGGGCACAGTTGGAGTCTGAGCCATTCCCAAATCTGGGACGTAGGCGGATTAGGGACACAGCTGGTCTGACAGCCCAATGATAGGCTCATGGAAAATATCTGTCTGTTGGGAGTGATGGCAAGAGATGAAGAGGGCTTTGAAAAGCTGGGCCCACCAGCAAAGTGCTCCGACCAGCCGCTGTTGAGTAAAAAACCAATCCTGGCACCAAAGGCGCATGAAGAGTAGAGCTTTCCATCCTGGTCATGAAACTGCAGTAATTTCAGACCTTTTAAACACAAATGATAACAAGGCGGGGGACAATTACTATTCATGCAGTGGTATGCCTTTCTATGGGATTATTTTTAGTAGTAGGACTTGAATTGTTCATAGAAAATATATAGTTAAATTAAAAAAAAAAAATTACAATCACCAAAAAGCCATCAGTCACAAATAACCATCGATATTTTGGTGGAAGACTTCCTTTCAAGTACCTTTTCTTGCAGATACTTTTTTCTTTATCTATCTATCTATCTATATATATATATATATATATAATAATTATCATATGAAATTGCTGATTTCATGGGTTAAAAATGATCAAATATCAGAAAAATTTACATGGTTCAACCTGATGCTTTTTAAATTTTAGATCATATATTTTTGGAACTTTTTTCACTTAACCATATATTATGACATTTACATCACCACATTTAACAAAGCCCTGTTATAGTATTATAGTAATAAGTGTATATTCCAAGATGTAGTTAAACCCAAATGTTGGACACTTAGGTCATTTCCCATTTTGTGCTCTTATATGATACCTGACAAACATCCTTTTATCTAAATCATACCCATGATTATTTTTCTAGGATGTATTGACAGCAGCATGTTTTTTCTGTTCTTTCCTAGCGCCGTGAAAGTTTGTTGAATTGAACACATAAAGCCATAAAACAAATCTCAACAACATGAAAGAATCAGCCTATTACCCCACACGAGGCTGCCTGTTCTGGCTGAGATGAAGGCAAAAGAGCTCACGCACACCAGGAAGGCTGTCTGAAAACATAGCCTGTTTTGGCCTCTTTGACACCACGCATTTTGCTTGCAAAATTACATTAAGATCTGTCGTGAAGAGTTTTCTGTACACAGTAAAAGCAAAAAACTAAATGTAAGTAAAATAAATATATTAGCGTTGACCACTGATGTCCTTTCTGCTGTGGAAACACGCCAGAACACAAGGGGCAGAAGGGAAGGAAGCTGACACTGTAAAGAGGGGCTGTGAATGGTTCTAAGATATTCCTTCCGGCCTCTGGATTCACCAAATGTTAGGACTGGACAGGGCCTTAGAGATCGAGACCAAGCGCTAACTTTTAAACAGTTTGAGAAATGGGTCCAGAAACAAGAAGGGACTTGCCCAAGGTCACGCAGTATAGGGGTAGCGAGCCTAAACTTGAACCCAAATCTTCCAGCCCCTACTACAGGATTCTGTTCACTGCCCTCTTCTAAGTTCAGTTACATTCCCCTTCCAAAGCTGGAGGCGAGGCCAAATTCCACAGCCATAAAACCTAGGAATGTCTGAGCTGGAAGGGACTTTAGAGGTAACTGATTATTAAAAATGATGACAACTACATTTATTAGGTGTCTGGCACATACTAAATACTTCATATGCATTATTGCATTCACCTTATACTGGGTTGGCCAAAAAGTCCATATAATTTTTTCTGTAAAATAAAAGACACATTTTTCACTTTCAGCAATAACTTTATTATTTGGATATTTTGAGTATGTCGGCTATCTCCCGCCATTGGATTCCAGTGGATCCAGTGGGTAGAGGCCAAGGGTGCTGCTAAACATCTTCCAATGCATAAGGCAGCCCCACAGCAAAGAATTATTTGGCCAGAAGGTCAACAGTACCAAGCAACTTCGCAAACCACTTTTGACACATTCGATCAGGTACAGCACCTTCTCTTTTCTTGTGTTTCAGTTGCATTTTAACTTTCCTAAAATAATAAAGCATAATATGCCAAAAATGTTGTGCATCTTCTTTCATTTTCAATATTAAAATGGCTGCACAAAAAAAATTCACCAATTTTGATAAGTTGTTTTAAATGCACACTGCTATGACAGCTGTCACGATACAATCTAACAAAACCATT